GCTATCCAACCCACTAGTCTCGAAAGCATAGTGTCATATTGGTCAGTAGCAGTCACACTGTCCGGGGAAAGGCTCCAGAATTGGGTGAATCGATCATATCCCAGCACCCGTACCGCGCGAATCAACTTTGGATTGAAGGGTTTGTCATGCGGCGGAATCTGATTCGCTGGGTCGGCTCATTTAGCTAAGCATCATGGACAGTTTCGAATATCAACTGTTCGTTTTCGATTTCTTCCTTGCCCCAGCCATCAGAGGGAAGCAGGTGTTAGACGGCAGAGGAGAGATGACTAAAAGCCATGTCGTCGCTGCAGGGCAAGTTGCACCGCGGTGGCTTATGCGATACAGTCTTGAGAATCAATATGACTCAGTCCTCATATTTCAGAGCCAGCAACTTATTGAATACCCCACAGCGATTTACAATATCCCTAGGGACTAAGATGACTAGTCTGAACCGTATCGGAAGTTTGACGCCTCGCCCAACGTGATCACGTCAGGATCATCGTGCCGCCCTGGCACGTCATAGGTATCGCTATATTTTGACTGAGATCGCCACATTTGCGTCTAGGCCACACTGTTATAGCATATATCAGCGACTTGAACTATGTGATGTTAAAGACGCGCCCAGTGTGGTGCAGTGCCAGATCTGTGGGTGCTGAGACCGGACGGTGCTTCTGCGACAGAACAAACAGAAGTATTTCGCGATATGGTTCTCTCCTTGACTGTCCGCGACAGAAGATTGGTTCGCGAATCAAAGAGCCTGACGCCAACCAGTGCAATTTCGGATAGCTGGATCTGTGAAGCCATCGATGCATCGAGGCCTAAGACATTCTTTGTCTCAGTTAGAAAGCCCGGAGTTCGAGTAAAACTCAACTGAGCGCCACTTTTGACGTTTCGGGGTTTGCTTCTTGGCCTGAAAGAGGAATAACAGATCGTCAATCTCATCTGATATTTCTAGAGGCTCAAATGCCTCTGTGGATCGCAGATCATATGCACGCCATGGGACGCATCTGGATTTTATTGACCTGACCGTAGCACAGTTGGGGAAACAATTTTTGGGAGCAATTGATCGATCAGTCCCTCCGCTATTTGCTAACAAAGAATCAAGCAGCGTAGCGCCATTTCTTTATCTCACCAGCGAGTAGATCAGCCACCACTAACTTTTACCAGCCAATCAAGATCAGCAGTGGATCAATATGAGAGATGGTCCCACCAGTCATTCCGGATCTGCAGTTCCGTAAATTGTGGCGATGATCGTACTTTAAGGAGGCTAGCTAGGGGTCAATTTCACGTGCCTCTCTGGATGCCAAGAGTAGCAATTCGGTCCAAGCCGCTGGCCACCACCCACATCCTCGCCGCCGTCAACTCCCCAGATCGTCTGCCACTCTGCCAGGGCCATTAGACCTCGCGTTGTCTATAACGACCTCGTCAAGCCTTTAAAAAATGTGTTAGACGAGAATTTCCTGACATCAGACACCTGAATTGGATGTTGCTGGATTCGTCGAGAGTCAATCCACCGTTGTACGAGAGACGTTTTAGTGTTTGCTCCGAGATTTGGCGGTCTCTGGGAAAAGTTGGTCAATTAGAGATGATTTACAACTGCTGTGAACTGTACAGTTGGTCTCAATCATTTCTGATCTATACCAATGGCTCGAAGCTCCTCAGGGGAGTTGACCCTATCACGCTTCCGATGGAGAATATTCCGCACCGCAATAGGACACGCGCCAGTCAACCAAGCTCATCGATGTTGGTTTGATGCAGGATGACACTGTGTTTCAATTGGCACTGATTCGGTACGTGTTGTGCTCCTCTGTCCTCCACGGGCTAGTATTGAAACGCGGAGCTGCTCCATGGCCCTTTCAACATCCTCATTCCACTGCTTCTGTTCCTCCACACTGGTCTCTAGTGCCCTTAAGTCCTCCATCAGTCTATGCAATGGTCGTACATGGCAGAGTGTTGACGGTGCACTTACTCTACCCTCTCGGATAGTCTGGCAGCGCCTGTCAGTTAACCGCGCTTCTTTCTGTTACGGCAACACATAGAAATGATGGTACGGTACTCATTCAGGAAAGGTAAGACCGACATTTGGGCCGGAATCCCATTTATCCTATCGGTCGATCGGCTTGGGTAGCTCATGTTGAATTTAGCAATGCTCGACGGATCCTCATCGCGTTCGATGGTTCCGTGTACGTCCGCGACTATGGGATGGCTATTGCGAGGAGAAGCAGTAGTGAAATACAGGTCGTGTTGCGGAGAGTCGTACCCCAGCGCTTTACGAAGGGCCTGCAGTCTCGTGTACTGCGGCGGACCTTCTTGGATTTGAGAATGCTGGTTAGGCATCTGGGACCCAAATTCCAACCAAGTCAATGCTATCCCTGTGTGAGGTAGGGGAGTGAATGGGTGACAGTTGAGGAAGAGATATGGCAAACGGCGTGGTACAGGCAAATGCTTAAATATGCAAAGGGCGGTCAGCAATGTCCGTGAAAGTAGTGACACGTCCGGTTGACGCAGAAGAGGACGCCCGCCTGCCGCAACAGTGCTGTTTCATGTGAATAACATTTGCTCTGATGCTGGGAGTTCACTCATCATTGACATCACTGGAACTTGAGGGAGATTGGATCATACAAAACTTACGCCATCCACGACCGTGGAACACACTCCTGAAATATGACCATGGGTATTCCATTCGCCCAGCAACCCCTCTCAGATCAACCTGGCCGGCGGAGCTGATAAGCAAGTGATCACGTCTCTGAGCCTTTCTTTGATGATTATCCCATGTCGCGTGTGGCATAATGACCTATGGCCTTACTGGCGCCTTGTGCTTCAAGATCTGTTACAGCGCTGAAGTAGCCTAGGGCTTTTGCCAGAATCAAATGCTTTCTCTGGCTTGACCACCGCATGTAGGTCGCCAGCCCATGAGAAAAGGAAGGGACGCGCAAGCAGCTAGACGTTTCTCCAGATTCTTTCGATGCGAATCTTCTAGAAACTTGTCGAGACAGTCCTGGAATTCATTACACTGTTGCCCAGCCCCGAAAGGGACAGCGCTTTCTACCAGTGCCCTTCCAGGCCCTCCTTCCAACTACGTCTGAGGAACCTATCCTATTCTATCAACACCAGAGAAGTCAATCAACAAGGTGGCGGTAGCTGAACGCCCCTGGTTATGGAATTATTATGGTACCGAGCAGGGGAAGCAGTATGGTCTGTCCTTTCATTGACCTTAAATAGTGTGGGTATACGAAACTGGAATTTCACTACCGACATCCACTTTGCCAGTACTTGGTGAATTTCTTTATTGAACGATTACATGGCAGCAGGCAATTTTGTATCTGGTACCTGTCAACAGTGCGGCCCGGAAGCAGGAACTTCCCACATAAGATGTGCAACCGTGCGATACACCGGACGCCGCCACGCCATTGGTAGAAAAGACTTCATTCATGTGTGGTGAATCACAGATTAGATCCACCGCGACGATGGGGCACGGATGCAGGKACGATTTGAGCGGCTGTCCCACTTCACCCTGGCTCGGACTTCACGTCCTTGCGACTCTATCAATGTCTTCTCCAGCTTCTGAATCATCTTGAATACGCGCTCGTTGCTCGCGGAGCTGATCTGGGACTCGGAGTCGCGCTGCAATACTGGATTTTTCGTTTCCTGAAGTAGACTTTCCGACACCTCGATCGCAACAGCTGTAAGATCATTTAGGATGCGAACGCAATCCACGAAGAACCGATTCTCGTCTTCCTGGCGCTTCCACTGCTCCCACTTCTTTGCCACTGTTTCGGGCAATGAGAGTGGACGCTCGTGTTTGGCATTCTGAAGCCGTGTACGAGTAGTTTCAAGGGCCATCGTCGTCCCTCCAGCAAGGGCAATTTGATGGTCGAGAAGGCTGATTTCCGCTGGGTCATGTCTCTCAGGGAAGTTGCCCAGCTTTTGCTTGCGTGGGACAGGAAGTGGAGGAATCTCAGGGCCACGGCTATAGATACTGGACGCCGCATCACGGGTTGTTCGAATCGTAAGGTCTCTCGATGAGAGCATAGTTGGCTAGTGTTCCGCAAATTGGCAGCAGAGAAGTTGAAAGGGGTCAGTGATTCGTATAGCTCTATATAGCCTGACACTTGAGGTGATAGTGGGGTGACAGCACCATTTAAGGTACACGCACTGACATGGTAGCCTCACAAAGTTGATACTCCTTGCTTACAACTGTTGGCCACAGAGAGTCACCATTCTATATTCTTCTCTTGCACGTCTTTCGAGCCCTGAGTTTTCGGTTGCGTYTTTTCAGGCAGAGCCTTCAAGCATGCCTTGATGGATGCCATTGCGCGCGGCCAATCACCACACCGATTCGTGTCTGTCTACATATAGAAGGCACATACCCGCGTTAGACGGCCACGCCATGCGCTGTGCCTCTAGACGTAGGTACGCATTGAAGTTTTGCCAATATCYCCTCATATTCTATTGCTATTGGGAGTACCRTAATAATAATTGAGGGCGACGGTYCTACTGGGCAAGCGTCTGTTGTATCCATCAGTAGGGTCCGAGCGAGTCCTTATCTGTTCACTTCGTGGCTGTGCAGGAAGCTGCTGTCATTGACACGATCGATATTGCTTTTCAAATTGCGTTCATGTCTCTAGGCAATGGGGGTCCCGAAAGACAAAGTTATCACCGTTGTTTTGACCTCTGTCGTTGGCGGTAGAGGATAGTCCTAGGTATTGTACTTAGAGGGCCCAGGATAACTGACAACATAATCATAAAGATACGAGAGCTATACTATGGTGGGGCAGTCAGTCGCACCGTGTTACGCTTGTGATGTAGAGCCAACATTCCGTCGTAGGGTCGACACATGAACATATCATGCATGTCCCGTGTACTCGCAATGCCGTGCCATGGCTGATACCCGGTGCTACGTGAAAAACAAGGGACACAATCTGAACAGTCTAACAAATCACGTGAATAACATTGAGGAATGCCTTGGACCAGCCGCACATATCTTTACTATCTCAACATTAGAATTGGAAAAGATGCGTGAAGTTATTTCCGTCTGGTACGATATCGCCGTCGTTGAAAACCCCCACTCCTTCCTCCTGAGTGTCCCACATGCCGGGCACCGATGTCGCCGCATGTAGGGTCGTGGACATGGGAGCACGATTGACGTTGTTGGGCGGATCTACAGTGCCTTGGAGCCGCTGTTGCCAGCTAGCGACTGTGTCCCGTACTTCCCCCAACAATTGTTCCATGTCCTTCATCTCGGAAAGCTGCTGTCTCATCCGATGTTGGTCGTTCAGCAACTTTTGATTCGCTCCCTCGAGCCCGCGATTACGCTCTGACAAGGCGTCCCTCTCCTTCTTTAGAGCCTCGTTCTCTCTCTCCAACTCTTCCACAGTATCGAGACACATTTTGTGATTCTCCTGTGATGGAGTAGTAAGGTCTTCCCGAGAAAAGGAGACAGATGACATCTGCGGCAGTTGGAGGGTGGTGAGAGACAGATTAGACCCAACTTTCAGCCGGGGAGGACTAAGATCAACCGTGACGCACCATGGATGGACGGCGTAAGGACCGAGGAGTTCGCTGAGGAGTATGAGTGGGCGGTTCCGTTCTTTGGATACTGCGATTCTTTGAGTTGGAACTGTGGCTCGCAGGCCTTCTAGGGGTTGAGCGGATGCCCGTCCGCGAGGTGGATTCGGCTTTTGCCATGCCGAATGATAATCGATCTGATTCAACGAGAACTGTCAACGAAAACTGAGCATTTGCATGAGAAACAGCTCGCCTCAAAGAGGGTCAGTCATAGTGTTTTAAGCTAGAGCCAGCCGGCAGTTTTGCGAGGTCTAACAGGACGCCGCCATGACCGGGATGGGGAGGTAAATAACGCAGAGAGGCCGTAGTGAAACCACTCTAAGAAAATTAACCGTTCTGTTGCCGTCACCAGAATGACCACTTCTCAAAAATGATCGACCATGAAACATGGCCTGGTTGCTGTGGACTGAAACGAAAGCCTGGTCAATTCCCCAACCATCAGCGTCCAACAGTATCGGTTTAAACTCGGATCTGTCGACATGGCGGGAAGCTATCTTCTAGACTCTGACACAGACCCACTCCAGTCGAAACCTCCTGGTTTTTATTATGATTAGCATCAACGTAGACAGCGGTAAGGTAGTATTTGCTTCAGGTGGGCATTTCTCTCAATCACCACCTCCCCTCTGCCAGTCGTGGTGGATTTACGAAAGAGAGATTGGAGTGTCGATTGATAACCGGGTCAATCCATTTCTACACATTTAAATGCATGCTGACCTCCCCATATGTCGTTCTTTGTAACCCAGTATATCATTCTCCCTTGACGACCACGGGCAATAAACCAAATTCTCCGTTTTCTTATCATTCTCTACGCGCCCCATCCTGCCAACGTTCCCTTCGCTTTCGTGGTCCTCCCACATGCCCAAGAGGAACTACCAGGCCTGGACGCCGGGCGAGGAAAGCGAACTTCAGTCATGGGTGGCTCGTCATCTGGATCTAAAGTGGTCGGAGAGAGCCACTAAGTACTCAATCGAACGCAAACCAAGAAGTGCGGAATCGCTGCGGACCAAGCTTCGCCTGCTAAACCAGAATATGGGACGACATCACCGCCCAGCCCGCACAGGACCGTCGCAGCCCAGGCGTTCGAGCGCAAAGGGGCAGCGCCCTGGCCAGCAGAAAGCTCGGCCCCGCCGTATCTCAACCAGCACTCCTACGACTTCTGGATCTAGCCCGCAAGGCCAATGCTCAGCTATGCAGGCCAAGACACAACAGAAGCCCACGTCCGCCTCTCGCCATCACCGTCCACCAGCACAACCCCGCATCCAGCGCGGTCGACCAACTACGCGATGGATGCGGTCGGTCAACGCTCCCGTCGAACGTGGAAATGCCAAAAATGCGCCAGGAGATCAAGGCAGACCTTCGCCAGATGTCCCAAGTGTTCCATCCGCTCGTGACGGTTCTCCAAGAAAATGGCGGCATGGCAATGATTCGCTCGGCGCAGGACATCACGGGAGTGTCTGGCAGGCACCTCGGCCTTCAGGGTCACTTCGAAAGATAGACCTGCTGTGGCGGCTCGTATACCACGTTGCTGGGCGCGTAAGGCAGTAGGCGGAGCGGATGTATACACAACAGTATGAGAAGTTCACAGAACATATTTACCAAGTGCCGTGCAGTCAGGTTCCATGTTTGATTGGCCATCGAGTACCCCAGTTGCAATCCGATTCGTACTCAACTACTTCTAACAGCATCTCGCTAAGCTTGCCTCTACAGCTCAACACCGAGAAGGCATCTATGGCTTCCATTTACGCTGGGCCATCCTGTCGCGCAAGTTGACCTGCTGGTTAAGAGTCGATTTGAAAAGAGAGGAAGATGATGCAGTAGAATTGGGTCCTATCTTAGCTTAGGGACAACACGGGCAGGTGATGAGTGGGCCAGTATTTTCTGGCGCGCGGCGATAAGTGCTCCTCTCGCAAACTCCAGCTACATGGTGTGTGGGGTCACAGCTTTACTCATCAGATGTGAATTGCCCGTATCGTATACCTGGGAATTGGTTTGATTGGATTGCGACCAAGGCAACCTATCTTATTTGTTTTGTCATTTATGTACGGAACTAGAAGGTGTAAAGCCTGTTGCACCTTACATTAGAGCATATATTTTCATTACGAAACCGATCTACATCAAATCCATCTCCCCACAAAAGGTAAGATAACGTATCCTCGCGTAGTACGGGGTCTATAATGGAATGCCACCTTAAGAGTGCGGATGCCATTCCGTTTCCTAGAATACCAGGCAGAGACGCTGAATTGTTTTAGAGGTGTTGAGCCTCGAGAAGATCTCCTTGGTAACTACACAAAGAGGGACAGTGCCATGCCTCCAAGCCTCACACTGTCATTTGACAGCGTAAAGCACAGAATCAATGAAACGCGGGATGAAAAGTATACAGTCGTCCGTATAGCCCGCTGTCCGGCTCCGCAGGATGCTACGGTTGAGGTCAACTGGAAATGATCTCCACCTCAACAGAGGGCCTGGGTCAGGTCCAAGAAGAGACCATCGGCCTGGAGGGATAGCTCAGAGAGAGAGAGAGATGGTCTCCATTGAAAGTCTCTAAACGCGAGTCCCTGCCAATAGATACCCACATTATGGGATGGGATGATTGTGCAATTGACATTTACCCGTCGTGCTGAGCAGGTGGGCTACAAAATTGACCGAGAAGGACGACAGATCCTGCATCCTGCACCTCGAAGGAGCCTGGTGCTCGTCTTTCGTTACCTCGGGCTACCTGATAAACCAGCAATCTAATCAGGTTGGGCGTCGCAGACGGTTCATACCTGCGGCTGACCCGTGGAAGTGGTGGGAATGCAGATGGTCGGGTCATACTAGCTATCTCCTGTGACTATGTCAGCTCAGGGCTTTTGCTATGCCTCTTTCCCGGCTTCACTTCTACTGAAAACCCACTGCATCGATTTGTTGGGGATCTTGACCTGGTCAGTCGGTCGAAATAGAAACCATTGACCCGAAACTGTCCGCTCTGGAAGATATAGTCCCCCGCCTTTCCCTTGATCAACAGTAGCATATGCGTGAAACCGCACTAATTCCCTTATTTGAGTTTGTTCCTGATGCTGGTCGAAGAAACCTAACCCAGAGTCTGTTGGGGTGGCCAGTCAATCGACGCTCAAGGAAGCTGCCAAGTCCACCATAAGGAAGACCGCCCAGCATATGGGTTTCTTTCCTTCATTCAGAGCGGTACAATATCCTTCGCAATTTTTAATGAGGCAACAGTAACTACTTTGCGCATCAGTGGCATGGAGGATTATGGATGAGTGGTCGATGGGTCGACGAGTTTGATTACCTAGCGGCGAATTCTACCTACTCAGGGGCAGGGAACTGAAAAGTCGCTAGCCTTGGCAGGGTCACCTGGATATGTGAGCCCATCATGCTAAATGTGCGGTAGGAATAGAACCCGACACGGGATTTCCGTCGAATGACCAACCAAGCCTGGCTGACTGCTATGGGTCGAACGAGGTCAACCAAGGTTGTTTATTGACCAGTTTTGCGGCATCCCTCCGGATTGGAAGCGGTCGACCATCAACAGGTCACTAATACGTCACGCGTCTCTGGGCCAATTATTGACGGGCCCTGCATTGGGCAATAGTACTAGTATCATCAGCTGGCTGAGTTCTTTGTTTACATGGAATTGCTCTAGCTGCGCAGTCGTGTCTACTCAAGTTGTCTTAGTGGGTTTGGAACCGCTGGTGGTGCATCTGAGTCTATGCAATGTGAGCAGCATCTTCCGTTAGTCTCGAAATACCCGACCATGCAGCGATGTAACCTAGAACCAGAGGTCCCAAATAATATCGCGGTGATATACTAAACGGGTATGTTGCAGCGTCCAAACCTGGCCTCAGCGTCCACAAGAGGGTACTGGTAGGGSGAATGCTATGATAGCTAGCCGCCAGGCTGGCCAGAGCGCATGGCTTGATAAGGGGTAATTCCATAACCACGTTCGGTGAACAAAAAGAGGCCGCGTAAGATGAGAAGGATGCTGTAGAGTAGCACAAGAGTCGTGTACCGAATCTGAAATGGGCGAAGGATCGGCATTGCGCCAGATGGACTGTCTTTTCTTTATCTTTCCATCCGTCTTCTTTTTTCTTTCCAGGCGTTGGTAGTCCAAATTACTCAGCTAAGGTTCGTCCAGGTTTCAGAGTCTAGAACTCCAGTAGCCTGCTCCTCAGCAACTTTCCCCGATCCCCACATTGCAGCTTGCCCACAGCGGGGTTTGATGCAGTTACTCACTTATTTTGACGGATCATTGTCCTCATGAAGAGGACATCGAGTCGAGCAGCAACAGTCCAGGGTAGATGACCACTATTCTTCTCTATAGGGATGTGAGTTGCCGTATAGACTAACTCAAGCGTCTCCGATTTGTGACATAGATGCCTTGTTCGAATGAGCTACAGGGAAAGAGAGGGCGATGTGGAACAAGTGGAATTTTCTTTGTCTACTATGAGTACTGCTTTCGGCCAGGACCCAATCAGATCATTTCAAGTCAAGTGTAAGGTTTTCGTTGATGATCCGTACTAGGGCATGTAGAATGTAGATCATGGGTTTGGCTGGCGGTTCATGTCGGGCTAGAAAACAATCGAAACAGTTTTCTTCGTCTTTCTGATCGTCACAGATACAGGGTGAACAAGTCTGATTCCGTACTGATCATCACCCGATTGATGCCTCGGAGCGCCCACTTGCTCAGGGCTGTTCCCCACTGCCGAATTTCCATTTCGACCGTTCTAAGAATTCCTCTTCATCGTGGCAAGGCGTGAGCCTGCGGCAGCGCCTCTCAATCATCAATGCATTTCATGGTCAGAGGATAGATGTACATAACGCAGGTGCTGCGAATGCAGCTTGGTACGTAACCAAAACCTGATAGCCCTGCACTTGCGAAAGGCATGTATAGCAAGCAACTACAATCTGTAGATGATCCTAATTTTGGCAGAGACGACATCCTCCTGTCGAATACAATATCAAGAATTACCAGCTGTTCTCTGGACGATAATTTCTTTCCGAGCTAAAATGCCTAGCATCACAGCAGCGACATACATCTAACCGGTAATCTAAAATCATAATCCAGATATTTGTAGGTACAGTGCGCATCGCTTTGACCATTCATAAGATAAGTTTTGGGTCTTCATGCCTTCCTAGTACTGCGCTTTCGTCGTTGCCGTTCCCCGGTTGTCCTCGTCTTTGGGTGATTTGCCCAGTCTTTTGCCTTGGCTGTCCATTAACCCAACTTGTTTAACAGAACCTGTTGCCGTACCGGAGAATCCTTAATAGGTCGACCCCTTCGCTACTTTCTTCAAAAGGAGTCGGGTCGGTCAATTACACTTCCCGAAGCCGCTCTTGGAAACCCGCAATATCCAGAGAACCATGTAGATGCACGCTTTTCGTGAAAACCATGCCCAGCCCACGACACGCTGCTATATGCCATTGCTATATGGCTGCTACTTCCGCACTTGCACTTGCCTCCGTACCGCATCCTTTAAATTCTTCATGTATCCGGAACTGGCCTGATTTGTCATTTTCTAGCAGGTCATTGTTCGCCATTGATCTAATTGATCTAGTCAGCAGATAAAATGTCGCGCACAGACATGCATCTCCCCAGAACTCCAGTCCTGCTGCCGGCTCAGTTGGAGACCAGCACGCCAGAGGACGCAGATTCCTCCTCGGGATCTTCATCTACTTCAATCTGTTCCTGCTGGACATCGCCACTACTCGGAGAACCAACACATCCGGCCGACCCAATTACTGAACACGGGTTGTATCCCTATACCGACCTTGAAGAAGGATTCTTGAGGACATTGACTATCTTCTCCGCCACGCCACTCCACGCTCAAGCAGTGGCCACCGCACCACATGACCATCGGGTAACTCGACACTGGCTGCTGATTGAGCTTCTCTCCCACCGGATTTTCTCCACATTTCCAGAGCAAGGTGCTATCCGCAAGCTCAGCACGTCTTACTATGAACCTGTTGGTCCGGGCGATGTTCTGTTCATCAGCGCGCGCCCAGTAACCGAGAAATCGTTACGTTGGTGCGAGGCAACCATAACCAGGGAAAATATGCTGGTGGCCATTGTCACGGCCCTCTACGACGGGCCACCTGTGGGAACGCGGGGTGACGCCTGGCTCCGAAGATCAGAGGACTTGTTGGATCAGCCAGATAGCTTGGAAACCTCGTCTCTGGCACCTGGGCATGAGTGACGGCATTCGTAATTTATGGGCCGTCGTTATGTACCAAACCTTGCTCTGGAATTCATGGATCTTGTACCTACATGCTCTTTTTGTGGGTTGTTCTCATGTGCATCTCTCGCGTACACCACTGTAACCAGATTTGGGGTGCAGCAATCCAAGCAGACGTATACAGTACTCCCATATACCAATTAAGTCTTATTTGGTATCCACGATCCTGCATGCTCCTGCTTCTCATCTCATCGCTAAACCTACATCTCCTGAGCGACATTGAGCAGCGTGGGGTACTGTAAGCTAAGGAAGACAGGGGATGCGCCATATTTCTTGCCTTGTCTGCAGTAACGTAGAAACTGATGCGAATCTACTGTCCCGCGCCAAAGACTCGGCGTAGCGTCGTACCATGGGGCTTAGGTTGGTCAATTATTGCCAGTCCACCCCTTATTGACGATGGACAAAATGCAAGCCTGAGTACCAACCTAACCCTCCCACCTCGTACGATTTGTGATCACGAAATGAGCATTATTGACGAATTTAATGACGAATTTGAGCCCTCAGGAACGCAGTAATGACGGATTCACTTGGCAAGGTGACAAGCAATCTACTAAAATATTTCTTGGTCTGGCATTCGTCGGGTGTGTCAACGTCCAAAAGCCTCATAGTAATAGATCCAGTCAACCGCTGGAGGGCCGGTAGCCGAACTCGCTTGTAATAGAACGCCGTTCTACCCAGTGTTGCATTGGACTTCATCACCGTTGGCGCCCTGCTCTGGCGCCCCTTCTCCGTGTCCCTCCCGCTGGCGAAGCACCCTGGTTAACAGGATCTCAAATGACTCCGACTGTTGTGTTTCACCCCCATGATCCTTAAGAAGGTGATCAATCACAGAACCCATATGCTTGCTTGTCTCGTATAGGACATCGGCCAATTTGGTCGCCTCTTCCAGCTCAGCAGTTGTTTGCTTTAATGCCTCTCGCAGCGCGCGACACTCCTGGCTCCAACTCTGTTGATCATCGTTTGTTCGAAGAGCCCGAGCACTTAGCTCGGCAATGATACGTAGCACATTCTACTTCTCAGTTAGGGGCTTATAGTGAGATGAGAAAAGACTTACGGAGGACTCCATGTTCAGAACTTCAGATATTGACTCAGTATCACGTGGTACGGATCTCTTCTTCTTTCTAGCAAGACATCAGCTACGAGCGATAGGACCGGACAAATATATATATCGCATGTAGCCCCGCATTTTCTGGTATTGTCTTCTTTTGGCAAGAGATCAAAGTCGCTTGACGGGAGGGAGATTTTGAGGGCGCGCCTGGTGTGTGATAGTGCCCTCTTCTGACGAGACAGGCATGCACAGAGAGCAACCATGCAGAGTATGTGTCCTGGTTAACTCGTCTGCTCACAGAAGGGCTTGGGCTGACTTTACCACTTGATGTGCGGGAGAAAGCCCATGAATGGAACAGAAATTGCTCGTCAATCGGCAAATGTCTCTCTCCCCCTGGTCGTAACACCATTACAGTAACCTAAGCTTCTAGCGGCCCTTGAAGAAGGATAGCGGGACGAGAAGCTATAACCGTTTCCATTGATTGACCTTCGAGAGGCATCACATGTCAATCGAGTCATCATTACCTATACTCTGTACAGTAAAGCATCGTCTCGAAATATCTCCAGATGGCCACCATTCGCTGAAGATCGTCATCTGATCACGACGTCCCTTGCCAGAGAATGAGCAAGTTTGCGGCCAAGTGTTGGTTTCAGAGTTGACACGTTCGTCTACTTTTACTCTTGCAGTATATCCCGTCAATGTGCTTGTAGCAATGTTAATTGGCTTGGGCCGAATAAGTTGCTCGCGCTTAGTAACTGACCGAGCATTCGAAGTTTATCTCGTAACACTCAGCAATTGCATAGCAATTCCCATAAGCCCAGGGTTTCCATAATCTAAGCGTACAGGTTCCTGGCCTCGCTAGTTTGACAATATTGACCCGGTATGTAAAGTCCAGGTTGTTGGAGGAGCCAGCTTTACAGCACAATCAGAAGCACGTAGCACTCTCAGACGCATCACAGCGCTAGTCGTCCAACCAAATCTCTGACTACGTTTCTTCTTTCTCAAAAAAGTTAAAGTGATTTTCACTACTTTTGCCCGTTTGCTTGGCACTCGGGCAATTCTGCCCTCATGGATCGGGCGATCGTAAGCGTCGACCGAGAACGTGAAAACACGCGGTGCAGACAATCCATGGGGCGTGGGGTTCTCTTTACCAGCACGACGACCAATCGCTGAGCCGCCCCAAGGGGATTAAGCTCGTCCGTTTAAGGAAGCAAAGTGTGGGCGAAGCCCGTAAATCGGTCAGTCGCCCGTAGTTGCCTTGCTTTGCCCGGCTCTCACCGCCTTTAGCCCACATTGGTCAATTGTGCTGGGCATGGTTATCTAAATGGATCTTAACCCACTTACATCAGACAATCGCTACTGGTTTTCGTGACGAATAAATTTTACCACGAGAGCGTTCGTCATCGCTCTGCAGTGGGACGGCTTTTTGACCAGTCTCCATCATGAACCAAGTTTTCTATCCCTGACTTCATATTTTATCCCATAACGAAACATTTTTCGATGGCACACTCGCGTAAGGAGGTAATCGAATGACGTGTCTTTCCGACATCGTTGCCCCAGACAGATGCACCTTGTTGGTGGACTCGTGTCATTTTTGGGGTTTTTTCCCAGGTGCATTGGCGGCGCAGCTTCTTGCGTCTCGAATTCCCATCTTATCTTCACCACTGCCTAACCAGTCAAACAGACACATGGTTTGGTCGGTAATCTGGGCGGCTACTACCTGGAACAAATCAAGGAATCAGTGGAGTCCGACATGAAGGACATATTTGGGATCTTTAGGACCGTCTTTGGGAGGGCTTCTAAGGTTTTTGTTGCCCCTTCCTTCGACTAGAACCGGGCTAAGCCAACTGCACTACTTGATCAGGTATCTTAACCTGGCCAACTACAGGGAAAAGAATCACTGGAACCAACCGACACGACATAATGAGCTGATACTCGACCCTGGTCGAAACAAATCAACTCAGAATCTGGGATTCCGGGGAATCACCGCTTCAGGATACACGATGGAACTTATTCTTACTGTTCACGCAGGTGAACTTACCCTTTCGGAGAAGATGCCGACAAAGACACGGAGGGACGTAATGACCGGTGAGGCATTGACATTACCCGGGTCAATTTCCTGGTGTCCAAAGCGAGCAATTTGAATCCGGTCTGCCTAGCCAGATGCCCCCCACCTTGCTGGTTATCTCGCTCTTCTGTATATTCCCTCCAAACTGCCTTCCACCAGCAACTCCCTAGCACCTACTCCGGGGCTCTCTAGTCATTCAAAGATCAGTCAATTGATCCTTCTGGCTTCGCCTCTCTTTTACTGTACACCCCATCATCTCTAACGAATATTTGCAAAGACCACGAAACCAAGCGCTACGTTGGATAGATACACCACGGTTTGGTGGGCAGGGTCTGACGGCCACACTGGTCAAAGCAATCGCGATAAGAGTTACTGCACACGGCTAAAAGACGAATTCTTATGACAAATTGAAGGATTTCCCGAGATGTGGATTGAATCAAAGTTCACTGAATTGTAGTGACAGCGGAATTGAAAGCGAACCAAAGATGCCCCTCTGTGCCCTAAGCCCTTGGACATTCACTGGACGATTGTCACCCCACGTCGCTTTCGTTGGAAGTATAGGGCCCAAGCCTAGCACCCAATAAGGAATGAACCATGCAAGGGCTCCATAAGTGCTCGAAATGTGAGCATCAGAGATTGGTGGCGGGTCAAAGATACCAAAAACCTAAAAAGCTGGAAATATTCTCAATTCAAAACGCTAGCTACAGGGGAGCATATAACTAGGAGCTTGCAGATTGATGACGAATTGTGTAAGACGTCCTGCGACTGGGATCTGAATCTTCTCTGTCCTCGTACTAACCTAAATCTTCTGTCTCTTGCTCACGGCAGAAGAATCGGACCGCCGCGTCTTGAAGAACTTGACGCGCGGACCGCCTGTCTTAGCTCTTGTGTCACCCCGAAAGACGTCTCCTTCATTGCTTTCAACTGGTAAGCTGGTCGCTGTCACTGAAGGTGATGGAGTGGCTGAGTCCTCTGTCCAAGCGCGTGGCTCGCGACTCCTCTTCCGTTGCGCCTGGATGAGCGGTAGGCTATCTTTGTCACCACGCCGAAAGTGGCGGTTGAAGTATTCTCTAACCCCTGTTTCACTCCACGCTGTCTTTGGCGACGGTCGTTTGAGCTGGAAATCATATTGCCGGAGAAGACATATGAAATTTTGATACGTTTTGTGTAAGCAGATACTTGGCAGCACCTTCTTCTCGAAGTCTTTCCAATTGTGGATGATGAACGAGCTACCGTCTTCAGACCACCCGATTAGTTCTGAGTTCCCGGGGTCTTCCAGAGCACTGCTGAGTGTAAGCACAAGCACCATGGAAGGATGTGGCACAGTCTTACTCGACCAGTTTCTCAATGAATGGGGGAACCGTTGCAGGTGGGCTAGTTGAGTTGTCTTGTGGAGTACGCTGGATGGTGTCTTCGGTGGCTCGAGATGTGAAAATGCGTTCCTCAGAACCAGTGGCTTCGCATGTTGGCAGTCGAGTCACATCAACGTATCCCTTTTCCGCTATCGGGTTTGATTGTCCAGTCCTGTCCGCGGGTGAGGAATTTCGAAATATGGAAGGTTTGCTGTCAGAAGGTTCTGTGGCAGGTACCCCATTAAATTTTTGGTGCGACGCGTCGTCTATGCGACTGTCAATCCTCATGGAGTTCTCTGCTGCACTTGGTGAGATATGCTCACGAGCTGTAGCAGTGCGTTAGACGCAGATGCAAGTTCAAATTTGGAGACGACGAGATCCTGTCATACCGGAGATATCATATGAGTAGTCCTCAGATTCGAAAGCGGTAGGGCGGGTTTGCTCAAGGTGGCGATCAGAGAGGAGGTTCAGGCGGAAAGAGAGCTGCAGTTCCACATCATCCACCAATTTGGCGGCTGTATCAGTGAAGACCGAGTTAACGCCAGCGCACAAGATTATCAACAGGTCGCTAACCTTTACGAAGCATGTATTTCATCTTGCGGAGGCCATCCATATCTTCGTTCACTAGTGCCAATTCCCTTTCGTAATCTCGCTTATCTGGCCATGGGTTGAGAAACTGCCATGGCCTTCCAGAGGCAAGGAGTTTGTGATCTTCTTCCGAGAGTTGAATTGTACTTTCGCCAACTTTCAAAGGTGTTATCTGATCCAAGTGACCAGGTGAGGGCCCAGCGGAGAGGACAACACGGACCCAACTGATAAGTGTGCCTTCAATCACTTGTGGTTTGGGGATCGTGAAAAGCCGTTTTAGCTGCTCGCAAAGATGCGTGCTAAATGGACTGTCGCCGCGGTTGACGGAAATGCTCCCATTATTGTTCAGCACCTGGAGATATTTCTCCAAGTAGAGAAGGATTCCAGTTAGGGCTAGCTCGATTGAAGTAGGCGGCTCAAGCCCATCCGGCAGTGGATGTAGGTCAAAACCAATCGTGCTTCCAGCGCCTGCATGGAGGCAGCTGGGACTTAAGTTTCCTGCCAATTGACTCATGATCAACGTATCTCAAGGAGAGCCGTCCTCTGAACCTAAGTATGTTGAGCTAAAAGCTGATTGATGAGGTCGTCGCAGACTCTCGATGTTTACTTAACAGGGCGGAAGAACTTTAAATAAGGAGCTTTCGCTCAGCTCTCCCTCCTTTCCAGCACTTGGCTATGTTGGGCTACACAGCCGACACTCATTGGTTCATTCAGCCGTTGAACAGTTGTGGTTGTGGGTCTCGAGATACAGTATTGGGTTTGCAGTTTCCTGACGATTGCCGACCAAACAATGAGAATGACCGGATACTCGAGGATTACAGGTTATAGCCATGGAAGATCGCTCAGCAACACTACACAGAACACGATACCACGGTCGCAAAGGCGTTTCCACCAATCTCTATTGTATTAGATGAAGTGAACTTGAAGAGAAGCAGAAAGGGCAGTAGTTGTCATAACGAGATGACCCATGGGCAAGCCACTTGCTACGGTAACACGCCAGGCACAACCACTTTTCAGTTTGTGACGACAAGGATGCCGCGTTTCGAATGATCTGCGCAGGTGTGGTGGAGGCAGACCAAAAGAGAAAGCGACCTGTTGCGAAGGGAATCTTGACTTCGTATGTCCTGCTGTTCTACCAGGAGACGATAAAATTATGCGTAGTCTGGATTCAACTTGGTCGGCGGTCATGGCAACTGACCTGGATGCGTCAGTTGTGTTCAATCGTAAGTGGTTATCTAACTGACATTAGAATTTGTCCAAGTATTTTCGTAAATTCACACTAGCCGGCCAGGTCAACGAAAAACATGCGATGTAACGTACAATTAGGGTCACCCAAAAACATCGTTACTAATAAATAATACTGGATCCCAATCTGACCACGGCTCGAGCAGACGCAATCTAGTAACTGTCCTCAGTGGACTAAAGAGGCAGTCACGGATGAGAATCAAAGATCTCGTAGCACAAGAAGCCCTGACTAAAGTTTATGGGCGAATAGGATGCCATTGCGCCCGACGAGTCTCGTTCCTTTTGTCTTTCGAACCCCTTCCTTTTTCCTTTTCAGGTGAAGATAGCCACCACCAACAGACTCGGGTTAGGGTTTATTATGGTGTTGGGGGTCTAGAACCTTCACTTGGGCTTGCTTCGCCCGACCTCTGTTGCTGTTAGTTTCACGCCGTGCTTCCAAATTCATCGATACCCACCGAGTCCTAAAATCAGACTTTGGACTCAAATCACTTGTTGCAGATGGTGACTCCATGTATCACCCATTGACGACTCTTCATCTGCTCTATTTGGAGCAGTGGATGACCTTGTCCGACCGCCACGGCATTTATTAGTTTCGGCACTTCGGGGCGTGTTGCCCCGGGCTCGGTAATGTCTCCATATGGCATTTACGGATGAAGAAGCATCCTGTAGGTCAAATGAGCTCCGATTCCCCTGCGACATACAAGCCTGCAACGCTCGCCAATTCTCGACGCAGGTGATGTAGTCAATGGGATTGGATGGCTACCTTCAAAGCCTCCCCAGGAGGAATCTGCCTTGACTCTAGCCACCCGCGCATAACGATCTGGATATCCTTACCTGCTGAATTCGTAGAGGTTCTGACCACAATGTACTGCTTCCTTTTAATGTTCAGTTCGCCGTTCCGGCTTTCCTCGCGTAGTATTCTGGCAATGGCAATGCTGGCCTGGTCTTGAAATCGGAGTTCTGATACTGATACAATGCTCATCAGGTTGCTGATGACAAACAGGGTTCACACAACTTTTTCGCCGACTCCCCTAGTCTTCGGTTGCAAAGCCCCTCAGCGGCTATATTGAGTATACTATTCGACTGATCGTATGTCCCACTTTCATCGAGGCATCGCCGTCACCGGGAGATTTTGTTCGGTTCTAGACGCAGGACGCCTCGGCATCACCCAGAATGCGGTCGTGGGAGTAAGTGTTGCTAGCTATCCCTCTACATCCTCTTCCTGGTTCTTAACTGCAGCTGCAAGGGAACAGCGAGAGCGATCCAGGTACAACGAGGACGAAATCAACAGTTGCGGCCAATTGGCCTACTCAGGTTCTGGTATATTTGTAGACATATATTCATGAAGAAACTTAGCTATACTCTTCATTCTCTCAGTATGCTATTGAACTTGATAACAGGAAAGGTTCATCTCGCTGATGATACTCAACTTCCTCCACTGAAGGGTCGCCATTTAATCGCAGGCAATTGTTTTAGGTTACTGAGGCTGTCACCTGTGGTCAATCATTGGCTTGCCGTGGTGTGGCAATGCCACCCTCATGCTCTTGAATACTGCTCTAAGTGCTGTCCATAGTAGAACTTAACCAGAGTTGAAGCCTACCAGCTAGGCTGCTTTACCTATCGCCTTGGACGATGTCGGATTCCCTCTTCATCGCCCATGTCGAACCATCTGAGTTTCCTTTCCCCCCTGTGCCGATCCTCTGACGGGCTTTTGCAATTGCTATGCTGACTCGGCTTCCCAGGGCCCTTGGGGAGGTTTGCAAAGCTGAAATCTGACGCGTGTACAGGCCCGTGTATATACACCTATGCCGTAGATTTATCAACTTTGCCAATATGCCCCTGCGCAGTCCGGCTTTTTCTGGCGAATGTGGGCATCTTTTGCAGATTCCCAGGCCATCATCCATTCCATGCCCAGACGTCATGAGCTCAAGCCAGACCTTGCTGGCATGAATAAATTTTCACGTATAGCTTATCGTACATATATATGCATCAAAATCTTACCATAAAAGAATATTGGTCCCATAATTTACGATCGAAACGACCAGAACTTTTACTGACTTTCCACACCGATCCACACTTGTTCCTCTTCTACAATCACTAGAAGGATCAGCTACTTGTTTAGCAGGATGACTGGGGAGCCACCCGCCAAGCATGACATGGAGCGATATTTGAAGTCTAGAAAGAGGGCGGTTCGACAAATGCGAGACAGGCGGAGAGAGAGTCTGATGAAGAAAGCCTATGAGTACAGTAAAATGTGTGGCGCGGACATATGCATGGGAATCCGACTTCGAGACTCTGGCCGCGTTTTTACATTTATGGCCGATTCTTCCGGATTCTGGTCCAAGTTTGACGCGAGTCTTGTACGCGTGATTGGTGTTTTGCACACAAAGGCGCATGCTGATAGTTAACAGGAAAAATGCTACCCCATTCCAATCCGCAAGACTTGTGCTGATTTTTCAAACTCTTCCAAGAAGCTACATGCGGAGCTCTAGGCCCCTTGACAGAAGCATTCGAGAGGAACTTTGAGCTACTCCTTTGTGCATAGCCTGAGTTTTCTAGAAGCCTGGCCTCGCCGTCGTATGAGACATTTCGCTGGATACGCAGAGCTGAGTTGCTAATCTCGCCACTTGACCTTAAGTGCTGCATGTAGAATGCGCAAACCCAAGTGAAGTGAAGCGGGTGATATATCGCGCTGCTAGCTATGCTTCTAAAACATCAATTCTTTAACTCATAAGTAGCTTCTACTACGGGATCCTATACAATTATAATACCATTGGTCTAGAAAGGTATCCGGACGATGTAACAATGGACTCGTCACGCATAATATCAGGCCAATACTGCACACCATGCGATCGTCATTCGATGAACAAGGGAGGACTCTCAGGGTTCTTTCTTGTAAAGCTCCTGTTACAGCACATGCTTGCTTTGCGCGGGCTCCAAGCATGCCTGTGAAACTTACATGCTAAACAAAGCTTATTTTTCATGTGCGGTGATTGGTGGTGCTCAGATAGGCAGGAAGGCCATGATAGTATACGTAGTATTATCCTACGGTCTTCTGGTCCAATCTACAATAATGCTACAGGACGCAAATCCCGGAGAGCCATACCTTGAATGCCAAAGCTTCCAGGGAGACACAATAGGAAAGAAATTCTACCTGTACTGAAGTCAAACAGTGGGGTGCTTCGCAATAGAGAACAAAAATTCTTGAACGTGGAGGCACAATTTCACTAGGATTAGCTGCTTCGCAGACACTCATCCATTCATCTGCGTCGTCGGTCCTAGAACTAAACAGGCCGATTGATGAATCCCCAAGCTAACGCGATCTCCTACCAATATGCGAGCTAGGGCTCCACCGTATTTGCGCTGGCCACACGACGAGAGTTATTATAGCAAGGAGATTAGATTTTACAAATCATTTTGAAAAGCTTAAGTAGCGGGGGCGGCATGTATATGGAGCAAAACAGAACGGGACGAGCATAGCGCACAGCAGCTGATTGCCTCGCCCTCCGGCTCAGAAGTCGTCTTCGGCTCGAACACAGAATTCGATGAGGAAGAAGCAGGTTTCACTTATGTGTCTGGCGTGCTCATTGCCCAAAATCTAGATCCTCCGACGGGTGGACATATCAGCGAGTCTTCTCCGGAACGAACTCCGCAAAAGTTGGTTTGCCATCGGATACTTCGGCCAACGGCGGGGATAACAGAAGGCCAATCAAACGGTTCTGAAACTCAGGGCTCGAAGAAGAGCTGCTGAACGAGGCTCTGGGGAAGATAACATCCTGCATTCTCAGCCACCATGTACTCAGTTCTTCGGATGACCATAAGGCCTGCTCGATAGGCTGGTGCTACATTCAGCGGCTAGAAAGATCGAGAGGAAACTGAAGGTTCTGCTTCTGACGCATGACCAACCTGTGCCACTATTTCAGCATCTTCTGGCGTGAATTTGATCAGACGATTGACATCCTCAATGCTTCCCAGAACGTCATCTAGCCACTGATCCACAGCATTAACATCCCAAGTCCCTTGAGAGGGTTAAAGGGAAGGGCGGTCACCAACGATCGCTTGAATCTTGCGTTCAATGGCAGATGACGTACGATGATATCCTCGACGAGTCAGGAGTTGCGACACGGCCATGGAGCTGATGCGTCTGGAGGAAAAGTAAAGGGTTATGACGAGTTCATCTTTTGACCAGCGCGGGGGAGGCTTCATATCGGAAATCATCCAGGGTGTGAAGACTTGAGGTCAATAATACCGTCGACTCGTTGCTAATGG